GCACAGCGATTGGCCTTTAAAGAAAAGTATGGTTTGATGTTTGTTTATTTATTTATTACTGGGACAATGCATATTAATGAACATTTCTGTAAATATGCCAGAATTAGCCAAACGGCTATTTTTCATCCGTAGTCCCATGTCTCCTGAAAAGATAAAAACATGTTTGCTACACAGTTAAAATAATGTGAGATATTTACAATATTTACAAGGACAAGACAGTAAAACATTCAGTCACACGTCGTTCAACAAACAACAATACACAATCACATGGAGACAGACATAGAACACATACAGGCGCACACAGAGCATACGGCCAGCAGGCGGAGTCAGTGCTGACAGGTGTGATTATTAATGAGCCAGTGTTTTAACTGTTTTGTACGTGAGGTAAGAGGGTGCATTTCTGATAGTTGTGGGTAGGAGGTTACAATCTAAGGTGGCACGGACGGAGAATGAAGATTGACCAAATGTGCTTTTCCTGATGATAGGGGGGTGATACAGTCCCCTCTCGCTGCCCCCCTGGTCATGGTGTGGGTGCTGTTTCTGGTATTGATGAACTGACTGAGAGGTGGGGATGAAAGACCATGAAGGATTTTATAGACCAGACAGAGATTGGAGAACTTGACCATGTTATCGAGAGTGAGAAGTCTTGTGTTTGTGTAGTATGGGACAGTGGTGGGAGTGATGGGGTGTCTTGTCCAGGGTTTTTACCGTCCGTTTGTAGAGTGAGTGCAGGGGTTTCAGGGCTGTGGTGTATGTGATCTGGGACAGAATCATGGAGTGCATAAACATTTTGGCTGCTGGAGTAGACATTTGGTGGCGGATGTGTTCGAAGTTGCAGAGGTTGTATTTAATTTTATTGCATGTTTTATTAATGTGAGCTTTGAATGAAAGGTGTGAGTCAATTCGGGCGTTCTGCTCTCCCAAAATTCCATCCGATGGGCGGGGGAGCGACTGAATTTTGCGTTGCATTATGGGTAACACTTGCCTTCGCAACTTCCGGTTCTCTCTGCCCGGCGCATTTTCTCTAAATGGTTGAGCGTTTTCGTCATTTTCTGTATGCAAATACATTCCCGTCTCTAACTAGTGGCATATCGCGCAAATCATCCGTCCAATTCACATTCTTCCCTCTTAGCTGAACTTCATTCTCATTGTTACCATCTGTCACTCGCACACACAGCTGTTTTCGTTCACTCTGCTCGCTGTCATCTTCTTCTAAATCTTCATAAACACCATCCGCTCGTTGAACTAGCAACAACAATTCCTCCTTTCGTTTTCCCACACTGCAAATACCCTTTCGCTTCAACCTTTCACGCAATTCAGGCACTGTCAATCGTTTGTTGTTTTCGTGAGCCATATTCGCCATTGTATGAAATCAACCGGAAGTGAACTGGGCAACAAACGGTGTCATTTTTTGATCACAGCGCCGCTCAGTGGATGAAATTTTGGGAGAGCAGAACGCCCGAATTATTATTCCAAGGTATTTGTATTCTGTGACGATCTGTAGCCTGTTGCCTGAAACTAAAACATCTGGATCTGTGCATGGGAAAGACTTGTAAGATTTGGAGATTTGTGTAATGTTCAGTTACACTTTGCACGTAGGGGAAGAGAAGGTAACCGGGACCTAACACGGGAGTCGTTTATAATCAAACAAGATGAAAATGGAAAAGAATTCATCACATTATCCCACAACGCTGAAACAAAAAAAAAAAAAAAAAAAAGAAAATCACAAAAACCTCTTGGATCCGATGCAACAGATATATCGCTGCTGCATTTTTGCAGAGCCAACAAACCCAAATTGTCCAGTTGCAAGCTTTAAATTGTATCTTTCCCGTTGCCCACCGGATTCCACTGCATTCTACCTACACCCTCATAGAAAGCCACAGGAACACCTCAATCTGCAGAACATCTGGTATTCCAGGGAGCCCATGGGGCATAACGCACTGGGACAAATGATGCCAAATATAAGCAAGGCAGGCAGCGGCACTTTTGAGGCGCTACACAAACCAGCCTGCGCAGTACAGCTATTGTCAAAAGCCGGCCTGCAAACACTAGAGATTATGACGGTTACCGGACACAGATGTGAAACCAGTCTGAAGAGCTACTGGACTCCCACAACAGCTGACTGGGAGAAGTGGAGCCAGATCCTTTCTGGTGAGTTGCCTCATTACATTTTTCCCTTCTATCCCGCAAGCCCTGTTCAGCATATTTACGCTAGTGTTATCTATATCCAGAGGCGCCCAATACTTCTGTCTCTGCAAGAGAAGCTGGGGGAATCGCGCCTGAGTTTAACGGGAGTAAGACTTTCAACTTAGCCAGAGATACACCACCATTCCCTATCTCCAACTGCACCTTCAACGGGAATATCCAGTTTAATGTGAATAAGTAGCTGGATATTAAACGCATAGCCACACTGCCTGCCCGCGGCACGATGCCGAGCAACGGGAAAACCAATTGGGACTACTTTATTTGTTGTCATGAAATAAACCTTTGGCCTTCATAAAAGTGATCTGAAGTTTATTTTGTGTGTTAAGTTGGTACAAAGCAGTATAATAAACGGGATAATGTGTAGCATACAGGTCATTATCGGAAAATAAGTACAGCTATATGCGATTAAAATGCGATTAATTAATTACAAAGCCTCTAATTAACTAGATACATTTTTTTATCGAGTCCCAGCCCTAATAACAATGATTTTTGATCATGCTTTTTCTCTTGGTCAATTCAATGCATCAGACTGAAAGAGCGCTAGAACCTGCGAAGACAAAGACATGACATGATACTGCACTGAAGAGGAGGTGATGGGGAGGCGGCGGGATGCTGCTCGAACAGAAGCTTGAGCTGCAGAGAACTGAGAGGCTCTTATTAAATGCAGCCATGATGAGCACAGGAGGACTCCTCCCTCAGTGAAGAGGGAGGAGTCAGTGCAGAGGGGGAGGGGTTAGTGCAGAGGAGGAGTCAGTCCAGAGGGGGGAGTCAGTGCAGAGGGAGGAGTCAGTGCAGGGGGAGGAGTCAGTGCGGCAGGGAGACATATGAATTTGCGCTTCAGCTTCAATACTGTCGCTTTTTCAGAATTCCATTGATTTGAATGGGAGCAGTCAAAATGTAGAGTAGGTTCAGAGTCCAGAGTTAACAGATCCCACCAATCATTTCTGCTTCCTGCAACAAAAAAACAGTGATGTTTGAGTGTCCCTCAAATTGACAAGCACTGATCTCTCCTCGTGACGGTAATGATTGTGCAGGATTATCGGGCCATATTTGTGATTACAGTCTGCTCTGAGTCACGTGAAGACACATCAGGAGGAAACTACAAATACAGGAAAGACAGGACTTGGCCTCAATCCTCGGCATCGGGTTAAAGGCTCCACTTCATCAAAGGTGCAGCCTGTACTTCTCAACGTCAGTGGTTAGTGTTTGTCCTTCACAGCAAGAAGGTCCTACTCTCGAATCCACCTCCAGGCCTTTCAGTGTCTGCAAAGGTTTCCTCCAGGTGCCACGGTTTCCCCTACAACTAAAACATATACAATAGTCATTCAAAAAGGTTAATTTTGTCTTGAGTCAAAATGCTTTCCTTTTGGTTCTTTTGAAAGACAAGTTTAGATGTATTACCTTGATAACATGTTTGGGCTGCAGAGCTGCGTCTTCACAACTGTCACCCGCCTTGGTGATGTGTCATTTATCAACTGATGTTCCTTCCTGAGTAGGCGTGGTCAGTATGATAGACCTGGTAAGGTCGCTCAGACTGACCTCGCTCCCTCCCTTTCTCACACGAAAGAAGGAACATCAGAAGGAATGTGAGAAAGAGACAACGGGAAGACTCACTCAGGCCGGAAAAGAACAAGCAAATCACGAAACTTACAAACTATGAAGTGGCTTTGGTGTAAGTATCATTAACCCATGGTCCGCCACGTACAAACACCACGTCCAGGTCCCTCCAGCTCATATTTGATCCCGGTATCATGATGTCATTGTAAAGTTCTCCCAACTTTTCCACAAAAAACATTGGTTGAAACCATAAACTGTATATATTAAATGGACAGAGTCACGCCTATCTCCGCCGTTCTAACTAATGGGCCAAAAAATTTGCTCTACTGGAGCAATCCAAAATGGCCGCGAGCGGTCCCGCCACAAGAAAATTGTGAAAAAAACGCATCTGCGCATGCGTTAGTTGGAGTTGCGCATGCGCAACTCCATTCATTTGAACGAGAGACTTAAAAAATTCACAGCGAGTAAACTAGAGTGGACCAAAAAAAATCCACCCCCCTCAGCATTGACACACATGTGGAACGGAGCTTTGGGCCAAGAGCCAACTTTTGGTCCATCCTGTAAAGACGTTTTTGAGAGGTCTGCCAATGCTATATGTTAGCATTGGCTAATTCTTCTTCTGGGTCCACCCCCATCAGCCCGGGGTGGTATTGCAAGCATGTCAGCGCACATCATTTTGGCCACTTTTGAGCTGGGACCCTCCCCCACTGGTTGAAACCCAAAAGACAGGGCCTCTAACCCGCAGCCTCCCGTCGCTGAAGGACCTGTACGTCGCCCGAGCTCGTCACATCACAACCGACCCCTCTCACCTGCACATGGACTATTCCAACCACTCCCCTCTCACCTGCACTTGGACTATTACAACCACTCTCCTCTAACCTGCACATGGACTATTCCAATCACTCCCCTATCACCCTGCACATGGACTGTTCCAACCTCTCCCCTCTCACCTGCACATGGACTATTCCATGTCCATCAGGACTAGAACCTCCCGCCACTAAATTATGAATAAAAAAAGTGTATTAAAATTACTTATATTCTGTTATCACCTCGACATGTTTCGACAGAAGACATTTAAAAAACAAACAGTTTTAACTCATATTTAATAAATGACATTAAACATGGAGCAGTTTCAGTCCACGACAAATTGAAGGCAGTGGTGGTTCTCCGGGTCCAGGGGACCTTTACACCCATGTAAACTGTTGCATGATGGGAAATGGTCCGTCTTCCACAGAGGATTAGCTGATTTCTCTAAAAGCTCTTTTCTCCACATACTTGACTTTGTGCCTCCTCTTGAACCTACGAAACAAAGTGTGTTTGGATTAGACACCAAAAACAGTTTAACAGATATTTATAATATTGTGTGGATTTCAAATCAAAGCAGATCAGAAGGATTTCATTAAAAACAGGTTTCTCCAACACTCATTCTTTAGAGTTGGAACATGGGACAAATATTTGTTCTTGTAATAATAAAAAAAAAAATAACTGCTTCACATTCAGATTCATTTATTTGCCATTTGCAGTAAAACCACATAGGAAAAACTGTGCAAGACTACCCCAGTGTGCACCAGACACACACCAGAGCTCTTGCCACGGCGCCATCTTTACGGCGCCATGCGACTGCTTAAGGTGGGAGCATGTAGACATGTAGCGTCAGTTAGCCCAGGCCAGGCCAGACCAGGCTACAGTTTTGTCACTACTACTATTGTACAACTAGTGTAGAGATTATTATCATTATTACTACATAATAGTAATGGCAGTTAACCCTTTAGGCGCTAAAGTTTTCAAGAAAATATGCTATTTTGATTTCAAGATTTCAAAAGGCTATTACTTAAAAATGGTTTGAGATAAAGGCATACTGTAAATTAGAAATATCTTCAGTTTGAACCAAACTTTGGGATGGAAGTTGATTCGTCATCTAATTTGCATATTGTGACGTCATCAAGGTGGCGGCTATTTTGGAAAATTTTAATTCTTGTATAAAGATTTCAAAAAGCTGTAGCTTGGGAGTTTAGATCAGGGAATACTATAAACAGTCAATGTGAAATATCTTTAGTATGAAATGAATTTGGGATAGAAATAAATTCCCTGATCCAGATTATAGATAATGTTTTAGCACTGGTTTGCGGCCATATGGAATTGTATTATTTTCAAAGGCCTTCAGTGATCAAGACAGCATTCTTTATAGATTACAGTCATGAAATCTGGAGATTGGTTTCAATATTTCCCTTTTAAAGAAGTGGTGGGCTTACTATTTTTCTCAGTGGAAATTAGGCTCCAGGATTTGGAGCCTGGAGGCGACAGTAGCTCAGTTGGTAGAGCATTGGCCTTCAGGCCTGAAGGTAGTGGGTTCAATTCCCACCTCTACACCTTCTCCACCGACTCCCACTGATGACTGCTGTCGTTGTGTCCTTGGGCAAGACACTTAACCCCACTTTGCCCAAAGTCCCCACTGAAAGATCAAGGCTATGCTCACACTCAGAGCAGCCGTCCTCCTGTGGACTCACCACCTGCAGAGGATCAGTGAGGGGCTGGTGCTATGAGACTTGGGTGGCATCTCTGATTGCCACCCCCCTGACCCAGAAATGGATTAAAGGGTAGAAAATGGATGGATGGATGGATGGAAATTAGGCTCCAGGATTTATCGTTTAGAAACAGAGAGATGAAATGAATGGGCACAGAACATGTCAGATTGTATCAACAAGAAACAACAGGCTCTTCAGCACTTCTGATCCACTTTTGTGGATTATTTTCTCTGCCTTGATCCTCATCATCGCCGTTGGTAAAGGCAGTGAACGCGATTAGCAATGTGTTTTTTTCCCGCGGCTCCCCCGCGACTTCTCCCGCGTCTCCCGTGGATGTCTACCCCCGCTACTTTCTCCCACATGCCCGGTGTTATGATCCCCCTGTCCCCTCGACCACGGCCCCTGCTTGGCGTTCACAGAATGCTTCTACTGCGGCCACACGGAGGATAAGCAGCCGCTGCACAGGGGCTGATTGTGGACTATATGGCGCGGTCTCCTCGTCACCAATAATGTCCGTGTCTGCTTCACTGGACACCTGCGTGTCTTCCTCCTCTGAATCTGAGTGAGCCAGTACCAGACCAAGTACTTCTCTGGTACTGAAGACCTCGTGAGTAAAATAAAAAACACTCTCCCTCTGCTCCGCTCTCGCTCAGCTCTACCGCTGCGCCTCCGCGCTGCTGCGCCGCAGGTGTTTTACGAACTCAATTTACTCAAAAACTTTCAATATAACCACACCCACAAATGCTGCTCATATTACAGGCACACATGTCCACTAACCCCTGGTGAAAAGTATTAACAAGATTCTGCACCACATTTTTACATACAGCCTGTTTAAGTGAGCAATGTTGCCTGTCGCAATATTGCGACTTTTGGCGCTTAAAGGGTTAAGTCCAATAAAGTCTAATCCAATTTTTTTCTCCAACTCTTAATCTTTTGGTGATAAATGTGGTTCCTAAGCAACAATTAATGATGCAATCCACCTGCTGGGGTTTAGCAGGGACAACTTTTGGTGCCTGGTTTAATTCAAAACAGAACATATTTAAGATGAATAATAATGCGTTATAACTAATATTACTGAGAACATGTAGTTACTATGATCTAAGCTTTTTTTTGTGGCTTCACCTGTCGGTGGTTGTAATGTTGTGCTCTAAACCCTGCTGACAGTTACATAATCCACACGGTCCTTACTTGGCTCTTTCCCTTGGTTCAATCAGGTTCCTCTTCTGCAGACTCTTGAAGCGGTCCTTGAGCACGCTGCCCTCTGGCTGCAGAAACAAGTCATGACACATAAGAAAAGAGCCAGGATCAGCTCACGTCACTCAGAGATAATTCACAATCCTCTGCAGGAAACAAAGGTTTACACATAAAGGCGGGAGATCAACGCTTTCACAGGCAATTAGATAAGGTACAAGTACGAAGGGCCTATTGGGAAAGTGGGTCACAGCAGAATTAGAAGAGAATAAGAATAAGACAATGCAGAAGATTAATGACCCAAAGTCATTTCAAATATTTGTTTAACAAAGACTTTGAACTGGCCTTGAGCCGCCGCAGGGAACCAGCCAGTTCATCACTGAGCTGCACCTCCAAGTCCTGGGGCTGGAACCTGTGGAGACAGAACACGACGACTTTACTGAAGATTTATAGAAAGTAAGTAATGTTTATTTATATAGCGCATTTTACAGACTAAAGTCACCCAAAGCACTTTATAGAATGTGTCAAAGCTAAACAAGCTACTGTCAGAAATCACTGCATATATATGTGTGTGTGTGTGTCTATTTGTTTGTGTCTGTCTATATGTGTTTGTGTTTTGTGCGTGTATCTATATCTGTATGTGTGTCTGTGCGTATAAGGTTTGGCAAATGTGTGTATTTACTGAGTGGTCACAGTACCAGTTGTGCCCAGCAGAGGGAGACACTCACTTGAGGCGTCCGAGGCGTCTGGGCAGAGCTTTCTGCGCCTCCTGCTTCTCTTTGCGTTTCACTTGTTTCACTTTTGTTTTGTCGTCTTGATTTTTGATGGAGGTTTTAATGGTGCGGAGCTGGAAAAGCTGCTGCCGCTTTTCCATCGCCACTTTCTGAGCCAAACGCCGCTGCTCCTGTGGCGAGGAAGAGGAAG